ACAAAACTTGCTCTGTGGGTGACAAGCGGTTTTAGGATTGATTCAACGAAACCTGATATTTCCTCAGTTAGGGTCCCATGGTTGGATATAATAGGTCTGCCAGGGTTCCCTTGTTTGTGGATTTTAGGGAGCATGTAAAAAGTCCCTGGGTTAGGTAGCGGGGGGGATCAAGGTCTGTAGTTTTTCTGTAGTAGGTTCTTGCAGTGATCTTTCCTGTAGTGGACAGCAAAACAATCCTTCTCTAAGTTCCACAGTTGGACTTCCCTCCTTTCTTGAAGACTGTCAGAATCATGGCATCCCTGAGGTCATTTTTGACTTGCTCATCATTCTAAATCCTTAAGATGAGGCCATGGAGCTGTGCTGTGAGCTTCTCCCCACTCTGCTTGAAGATTTTGATGGGGCTTCCATCAGCTCCAGATGCCTTGTTGTTCTTCATCTGTTTGGTGGCTTTCCTCACCTTGTCAAGTGTTGGAAGGATTCCAAGATTGTTGCTGATGAGTGTTCTCAACCTCAGCTTGCAACATCAGAGACAGTCTTGATCAAGAAGGTCTTCAAAATTCACCTTTCAATGGGCACTGATGGTTCTTATTTCCTTGATCAGGTCTCCTCCATCCTTAGGTTTCAAGGGGGTTGGGTCCCTGAGTGCTTGGATCATAGGTGGCTTTGGTGGCACTGAAATATTTACACATATTGTGGATGTCAGCAAGATGGTGAATCTCCTTTGCCTTGTCTTTCCACCATCTGTTCTTCATATCAGAGGTCTTCCTTTGGACCTCTGCCTTGGCTTGTTGGAGATTCAGATTCAATTTCTTTTGCTTGGAGTTGATGTCATTCTGCCATGCACAAAAGGCCTTGTGCTTGCGGTCTATCTACTCTTGGATCTCCCAGCTATTCTCATCAAACCAGTCTTGATGTTTTCTAGTAAAGAATTAAAGTGTCTCTTCACAGGTGCTGATGATGGTGCACTTGAAGGCACCCCAAATGCTGCTGACATTCTCCCATTACTGTTGATCAGAATTTGTCAGTTTTTTGTTGAGGTGCTGGTGAAAGAGGTCTTGCTTGATTGGGTTTTTGAGTCCTCTGACACCTGAGCAGGCAGGTGTGCATCGTAAGCAGGAATAAAAGGGAAGAAAACAGCAGCTTTCCAAAACTTTTGGTTCTGAAATTTCAGCAACATGCAGAACTGCAGCTGGAGTTAACACAATACAAGCCTACAGAGCAATACAGATGCAGCCTGGTCAGTGTATGAAAAGCTGGAGAAAGATGGCTTTATTTCAAAGTAAAGAACTGCCTCTGCTTATGTAGAAGTTTCCATATGTAACCTATGTAAAGCAAGAAATGTTTTGTTGCATTAACAGCTAATCTACATAGTATCACTGAGAATTAAAACCAGAATTTCTTTTTGTATCTTCAAGGGTAGGGGTTGACAGTGTTTTGCACTGCGGCACTGCTTTAACACAGATTAGATCCAAGCACAGACTGCTTCCAGCCTAGCGTGTTACCCCCTGCTTTTCCCTGATGTCTGGGCAAAGCTCCCACTGCTGAAACACTACAGAAGCCCTCCCACTCTTTGAGATGGATTTGGCTTGTGGGCCGGGTAATAGGTTGCCAACCCCTGCTCTAGAGTGTTTCAGTAGTCATCAACTGTAATCAATAAATGAAAAGAAAGAGAAAAATAAGAGTTATATTTTCAGAATGGATTTGCGTGCATCTCTTTCATTAAACACTAAACTCAGAAAACATAAAAGAAGCTTTAAAATGGATACCTCCCAACCAAGGCCTGCTACAAAATCTTCATAGGCTTGGCTCCCTCCAGTATTTGTGAGGATGGAGTGTTTATCTTCTTGGCCCTCAGCAACATAAAATACTGCAATCTTGTGAGTCTCTCTGCTGTAAAATGCAGGAGCAGAATTACATAACTGTCCATTTCAGAGTTTTAATATGGAATTAGAATAGGGAAGCAATGCATACAAACAATGGCTGGCATTTAGAATTTTAAAAAGCTAGTGAAAATACAGTACAATAAAAAACTCTCTCTCTTTCTGTTTTTTATCTTTCATGTTTCCTTGCTCTCATCCTTTACATTATTTTGCTCGTACATTCTGTTTTGCCATTCACCAACAGCAATTGCCACCTGTGAGATTAGCAGCAACAGATGGTACAATAGAGTATTCAAAAAATTAATGAAGAGGTTTTTAGTTGTGGACCCAAAAAAAGTAAAACCTATGATATGGATATTATTTTCATTACAAAGAGGTGCTTTAATTATTCTTTAATAGTTGTATGTGTAATACCTTGCAAGTGATCTAATAAAAGTGTCTCAAAAAGATTAATTTAATAACCACAAGTGATATGAGGGGTTTTTTTGTGCATCTCTAGTTTAAAAACAGCTGGATAAAGAGCTGCACAACTGAAAAGTGTTTCTAACAGTTGTTTCACTAATTTTACAAGCATCTGAAGAGCTGTCAATTTTAAGGACAACAGCCAAATGGTAGACTAGCTAGCTAATTATAAATTTTCTGCTTCACTTTTAATGGAATTAATTTTGTATTTATAAAACAACCCACCCTTCCAACAGAGAGAGAGAGAGAGAGAGAGAGAGAGAGAGAGAGAGAGAGAGAGAGCGCGCGCGCGCGCACACTAAAGTCTTACAGAACCTCTAAAACTTTCACTTATCCATTTCTGATGCTAGTCTGCTGGTGGGAGTCAACAGAAAGGCTTTACAAAAAATGCCACATGATAAAAGATGGTATTTCTCTATGATGCCCACCTCTGAAAATCTACATTCATGTACTTAAAAGCCCCTAGAGATTATACTTTTGTGTCAATTTTTAAAGAATTTGATAAAACAGACAAACTACCACCACTTGGTTTGGAAAAGTGGCTTGTAGTGAGCACAAAGTGAAGGTGAGGGGCAGTACTGTAGCAAGGGGGTGGGGAGCAGGGTGACCACCCTGGGTGCTGAAACAAAGGGGCACCAACAGGTACTGCCCAGCTGAGGTGGGGCGTGGGACGGAGCCGCAAACTGCTTGTTTCGGGGGGAGGGAGCATCGGGATAGGGGAAGGGTGCTCCCGCCACTGCGTGCACTCCCAGGCAAGAATGGGGGGCATATGCCCCCCAGAATTGGTGTGGGGGAGGGGGGCGCGAGGGCATGTGCCCCCCAGATCCCTGAGCAGGGTGAGGGTGGGCTGCTGCTGTGGCCTTTACCCCAGGCACTCAACTTCATTGCTATGGCACTGGCTAGGGTAATGTCCGTTTCAAGCTATTGGGACATTATTTTAGCTTTTCTTATGAGCCACAATTCCAATCACTTCCATACTTTGTAAAATATTGATGGCTTTAATTCTCAGATATTAATTCCAAGCTATTGTCATTGAATTTTGAAATTTCTCTCTCTCATTATACGAGAGAAGAATTCTTGTTGTGCCTTATAGGCAAGCTTTTGGGTGTATCCGTACCTTCTTCAGGCTTCACAGTGAGGCCCAAGGGAGGGTACTGTGACATTCAAAAGCTTACCTATGTCTATACCAGCCATGCTGTTGCTCCAATATAATACCCGCAAGAATTCTTGCCTTTCACATACTGGACTGTCACGACAACAACATCATCTTAACATTACCATCTCTTTTATTAGATATCTATGTACAGTAGATGCTTGCACAACGATTTTCATGGAACATACTAAAATAATATTAACAGATAAATTACTTGTTTGAAGATTTTAATTTTATTTCATGGTACTCTATTCAAATTTTCATTTCACCCTATACTTTGCAGGTACTGTTTTCAAAAAGTAGCATATATGATTTATTTATTGGGACACAAATTTGTTAAGTGTTCTATATAAACTAAAGCTATTTAAATAAAAACTCACTTTGAAAAATAAAATGATTGATTCAAATAAATTAGCTCTTTTAATAATTTACCATTGTCGTGAGTCCAAATTTCTAAGTTCTCGAAGTAACTTCTCATTTTTCTTCAAGAGATGAAAGCTTCTTCTAAACAAAATAATTTTTAGCATTTTCAGCACACATTCAATGATGGATATAGGCGAGTACAAGAACACATTTTCAGTTCTATTCATGAAATTGCCCAGAATTGTTCTTGTTCAAAATTCTAATGAAACTTTTCAAATAAGAAAGACAAACAATTTCTATTCTAGGAAGTTTTGTGCACTCTTCTTAAAGCTCTGAGTGTAATCCCTACTTCCTTTCACTTTCCACTTCTGTGAATTTAGTGTCTCCAGCTATAGTCAGTATCCCTGCCTATGGAAGAATGGTGCCTATATAATGTGCTCCTTGGCAGACCAGGGAATAACTGTTTAGTGATACTGAATACTATCATAATCAACCATCCTTGAGAATGAGAACCCTGGAAACTGAACTCTGATTTCCTGAATTGCAGAGCAAAGCTAAGCATAGCCAACTGGCTACCCAGTCAGCTGAAATGCTTAAAAACAAGTACCCCTACCCCAAACCACACAGTTACGTTATAGCAAAATAACTGCCTGTATTCTTAAAATTCTACTTAAAATACTGCTGATAACATATGCTGAAACGAGGCCAAGAACTGCACCACTGGAAAAAAGGCAGCTTTGGCAAATTGAAAGCCTGCTTAAGAATAAAAGAATCTTTTAAAAGTAGGGCTAGAATGGACCAACCTCCTGCTCAGAAAAGGATAATCCTCAATTAAATCACCACAGTCAAAAGTGTATGTAAACTGCTCTTAAAAATGTTCAAGGATGGAGATTCTACAACCTCCCTGGGTAGTCCATGTTTAAGCATACTCATCTTGAAGAAAGTTCTTCCTAAATGTCCAGCTTAAATTTCCCCTGCAGCAATTTGAGACCATTGTTCCTAGACTTGTCTCTGGCAGCCGCAGAAAATAGTTTATCTGCATCCTCATTAAAAGCATCATTCAGGTATCTGAAGACTGTTATCAAACCCTCCCTCACCCTCCTTCATCTTGTCTTCTCCAGACTATAACCCTAGTTCTTTCAGCCTTTCCTAATACGTCACATTTCCCAGGCTTCTAGTTATTTCTGTTGCTCTCTGATGGGCTCTTTCTAGTTTGAAGTGTGGGGCCAAGGACTGGACACAGTAATCCAGATGAGGCCTTACCGGTGCTGAACAGAGTGGAAGGGTCACTCCATTTAATTTGCAGTGACACTTCATTTAATACAACCTAATATACAATGATTTTTTTTGCAACAAGAGCCCAGTGTCAGTCATATTCAGCCCAGGTCCTTGACTGCAGTCTTCAGCTTAGTTGATCATTCCCCAGTTTATCTTTGTGCAAGCAACAGTTCTGTCCTAAGTACAGAACTTGGTACTTATCTTTGTTGATTTTCTTCATTCTGGACTGTGTCTCTAGTCTATCAAGTTCATTCTAAATCTAAACCTACCCTCATGTATCTGCAATTTCACCCAACTTGGTCTTGTCCGCAAATTTGCTGAGTGTACCATTGTCCAAATCAATAATTAAGATATTAAACAATAGCCTACCCAGAAGAGGCCATTGGAGAGTCCTGCTCCATAACTCACCCTAACTGGGCATCTAGTCATCATGACTAGCCATTGAATCTGATGATCCAATGAGATGTGTATCCGTTTTACACTACTTTCATCTAGCCTGTAATTCTTTACCTTACATATGAGAATGTCATGATAGACAATGTCAAAGGTTTTGCTAGAATCAAGATGTATCATCATGTTCGTTTCTCTCCCTAATTCCATGGAGCTGGTCATAGAAAGGTATCAGGTTAATTAGGCACAACTTGCTTTTTATGAATCCTGCTTGTTCACAAACAAGAACAGTTATCACACATTTGCTGCCAAAATCCTTGATGACAAGAAGTTTCATTCATATGACTGCATGTTACTTTACTCATCCAGACCTATTTTATTTCCTTCACAGTATGGCAATATCTTGATGTCTAATCCTTCTGATCAATTCCACATTTCATTCAATGGAGAGTGAAGATTTCAGAAAGACACTAAAATTCTGGGATATGCATCTTGTATGCTTTTTAAAAAAAATGACACCACAACTACATAAAGGGACATCTCTTGCTCAAAAATGTCTTACCTCCTGTCATCTTAAACACCAACTAAAATGATCAGGATTGAAATAACTGAGGGGAAAAATCTCAGCTGGCTTGTATCTGTGCACTTCTCTGGAGAAGTACATTTGTATGCTCTTCCCCAGGCAGATCATGTACCAGTGCAACAGTGAATCTGATGTTATCCCAGAACTTGGCTCTGTCAATGACATACTGCCTCATTTTCCTGAGCTCCTTGCAGGAACAAGGCAGGAAGCAGAAGCGGCCATTTACCCACTTAAGGTTCTTTAAATCAAGCTGGGTGAGGGGAGCACGGTAGACAGTAAGGATAGTCTCCTCCCAACAAGCTTCCTGCACCAATCTCAAAATCTGGCCAAAGGCATTCTTGGCCTAAGGAGCTCTATTCCCTATGAAGCGATGAATACAATGACAACAAAGGAAGAATCACATAAAAGAACACTGCTGAGTAACAGTTAACTAACTGTAATTTGTATTGAAGAGCATACCCATTTTTTCTTACCTTTTATCCCAAGAATTCATACCCAGTATGCTGAGAAGTAATCTGCAATAGTAAAATGCTGACTGGGGCTTCTGGGGGGTTGGTTCATTCTGTTCCACAGCTTTCATATTTAAGTCATTAAAGTGTTTTTCAACAAATTCTCTCTCTTCTGTGTCTTGCTTAAGAATTGCATTGATTACATCATTTTCCTGTTTTTCTGAGATACAGATTGGTTGAGGAGCTGGTGTATTGAGTGAGACTCCTGTTCTCTGTAAGCATTCAGGACTAGTGATACCTAAATACTGCAAGAGCTCATCAAGAGCATCTTCCTCATCCCTAATTGTATCCCATGTTGGCACAGTTTCTCTAAATGTTCTTTTTGCATGGAGTGTAATTCCATCCCTTATAGCTACATCCTCTACGAACTCACTGAAAGATGGGGCATCATCTGGTTTCTCTTGCTCATATAAAGAAAGCGCAAAAGCAGTTTGTTGTGACGATCCACATAAAGATGATGGCCCATACAAAATTGCAGAATCCCATGAATATTTACCAGACAGATCACGCACTATAATTCTGACATTTGGATTAGCAGATACGAGTCCAGCAGACAATCCTCCCCCAGGCATATTCTCTTCAGCTTGGATTTGTATACAAGAGACTAAGGAAGTATTGTTTAGCACAAAGAACTGAAGGTTTGGACTCTCAAAAAGTTCAGGAGAAAGTTCAGGACTCTCACTGTAAGGGTTATCATTGTTTTCGCAAACTTGACTAGTTAACATGGCAGGGCCTCCACTCATTGGATAGTGGCCTAAGTGGTTCACTAAATGAGTTACTACAGTACGAGCTGCAACGGAGATCAATCCTTGTTGCATATGGGTTTTCACTGCAAGAGAAAAAATGCTGGTGTTATAATTAAAGTTTGTGGAAGCAACATTGAGAGACTTTAGGTTTTATTAGTTGATTTTTGAGAATAAGAACTGAAGTTAAGGTGCACACATACAAAATACAGATTTGAAAGAACAATGGTCTTAAGAATGTAGAACAAAGTAAACTCATATTAAACAATTTAAAAAAGAAAACTATTCTAATAGTTTTAAAACTTATTTTTACTGTCATTTTTAAGATGGTATTTCTTAATCTACTGAAAATAGATCTGATATTGTTGATAAAGTGAGAGCTACTTTATTATTAAAAGTCAAACCATTAAAACTACAATAGATTTTTATATTTTGATACAGCAGTACTTTGAGGGAGATGCCCCTGATTTAGTCCAAGGCTCAAAACAGGATCATCCCTAGCCTTACGCAATCCAAGACAAATGTTTATCTAACCTGTTCTTAAAACACTTCCAATAATGGAGATTCTACAACTTCTCTATATAATCTAATTCCAGTGTTTAATAACCCTCATAGTTAAAAAGTTCTTCCTAATATCTAGCCTAAATCTCCATTGCTTTCTGTTGTATCCTCAATAGACATTGAGAACAATTGAATGCTACCCTCTTCAAAATAATCCTTTCTGTACCCTTCTCTTCTTTAGAATAAATACTACCAGTTTTTTCCATTTTCACTCATATATCATGTTTTACAGACCTCTTATCATGTATGTTGCTTGTCTCTGTACTCTCTCCAATTTGTCCGCAACTTTTTTTTTTTTTTTTTTTTTAAATAAGAGTATGGGGCCCAAAAATGAATGTAGTACTTATTCCCATGACAATTAGGGCAGAAGAATCACTTCTTGTGACTCACATATAGCACTTGCGTTAATACATCTTGGTAGGCTATTACCTTTTCTTGCAATAATATTACACGAACTGTAAGAAATAATCTTGCAGTGACCAGTGAAAGTCCTGTCAGTAGGATTTTTAAGTCCTTTTTCCATCTTTACAATCAAAGCTATATATAAATTTTCCATTTCCACTGGGAGGATTGCCACTCTCCTGGTAAAACCATGAAAGTACAGACATTCCAGCTTTGTTGTCCTGGAGTGAAAATGATGATTCCAGAAGAAAAATAACCTGGCTCCAACCAAATAGAAGTCACTCCTTGGAGAATTTCTTCTGGGAGAATCAATGTTTGTATACTTTCCTTTGTTTTAACTCCTTCCAGGGACCAGGAGTGGAGCTGTGGGGAAGAGCCCCCATGCCTTCCAGAGACCAGAGTCATCCTTGTCTGGAGAAGGTGCAGGGAGCAGCTGCTCCAACTATTCCCATAAA